GACTGGCCAAAGAGATATTCCCTACCATACGACGTCATGCCTGGCGCCTTTTTGGCGCCCAACGTGGGGCTCGAACCCACGACCCTGAGATTAAGAGTCTCATGCCCTCAAAAGGACTGTCGTGGTTAAGCCCCAGCCGGCAACTAAGCACCACGCAGCCGCTCGCTCACTCCCCCTCCTGCAGTGGGACGGGGAAGAGAATTGGGAACAAAACTCGTGGGTTGAGATAAACACGGTTTAATAGGACAGAATGAAAGAAGGGAACAACAATGATAATACCAACACAGGAATGTACAAGAACAAGTGATGCCCAATACAGCAATTGCTCACCACCCCGTGATCGACAGCCCGTCCCCGAGCAGCGATTTCCGCCCCCCGGCCAACTCCAGTTTATGTACTGGGCATGACGTCGTATGGTAGGGAATATCTCTTTGGCCAGTCTGGGTCAGCTGTCCCGGCTGTGTCCCCTCCCAGCTCCCCGTGCACCCCCAGCCTGCTCGCTGGCAGGCCAGCACAAGAAGCTGGACTGTCCTTGGCTGCTCAGCAGCAACCCAAAACATCAGCACATTATCAACAGCTTCTCATCCCAAATCCAAAACACAGTCCCGCACCAGCCTCTGCGAAGAAAACCAGCTCCATCCTGGCTGAAACCAGGACAGTATTTTGAAGTAGCAGTGGATACGCTGCTTAATTTGATTTCTTGTTGCTACTGGCTTGTGCTTAATATGGATGCCTTGTGGCATGACTGTGAATGTAGCTTTAGACAAACAGCTTCTGCTCTCTGCCTTGGTTTCCCCAGTGATACAATAGGTGTAATATTTCCATTCATATTTGCAGGTCTGTCCTGAGGCTTCACTAGTGAACACTTGGAAAGCACTATATCTACACTAAATACAACTAAAGTCAATTTCTAAAAAGTGCAACTGTTTGTGCTCACGTTTTCTTCCATTCTCCTAGACATTTGAACTATGTGATCTTTATTATTTGGAGTTCTGCGTCTCAAATAAGCATTTGAGACAGATCTTTGTTTCCCTTTTCTTTCTCTCCCCAAAATATATTCCTTTTAATTTTAAATTTGGAGTTAAAAATCTTAAGTTCTAAATACTGAGAATTGGAAAGCAAATTAAATTTGCTGTTGGGTCCTTGCTGCCTCCTGGTGGAGAATTAACAATCACTTCATTGTGGCTGTCTTTGGGCTGAGTTATGTCAAAAACACTTAGCTTATGAAAACGTTTTGGGACTAACATTTAAAAAATATGTATTTTGGAACATAAATCTCATTGGAACACAATGAGGTGATCTTGAAAATGAAACTTTGGGTTGTTTTCTGCAGGACGTGGTTCAGTGAGCATGGTGGTGTTGGATTGACAGTTGGACTTGATGATCTTAAAGGTCTTTTTCAACCTTAATGATTCTATGATTCACTTGCATTGATGATGGTTATGCATTCATGTTTTCTTCTGTCTAAGCTGGAAGCTGAAATAAGTAGTTATGCCTTTCACAACAACTTCTGTTTTTTTTTTCAAAAGAGGATAAAATTACTTCCTCATCTTACTGTCAAAAGCAGCATAACATTATCTAGAAAGGAGCCAAAATCATGTCTCTCAGATACTAAAATATCTTCCTAAATGATACTGAGCAAATTTATAGTGTTTAGAAATGCTTTGCAGGAGGGTGCTTGCCTTTCCTTGCCTTTTCCAGATGTTCCTTTGCAAAACCTAAACCTTCCCCAGAACAGTTTGACTGCTTGCAATTGGAAGGTTTAAGATGGAAGAGCAGTGCTTGGGCATATATTAATTATTCCAGCAACAGGTCTCCTCCTAAGACGTCATTACCACACTCAGCAGATCTGTCACTGTCATCTCTATAGATGCACAAGCAATGATGCATCAGCGTTTCAGAGGCTGACTGCTCCACAGAGGTTCTTCTGGACCTGCCTGGCCTCTGTTGGTGTTCAGAGTCCCCTGGAGATCTGAACAGCAATGCAGACCATGTCCGAGAGACAGAGTGGGGTTCAGACTGCAGAGTCTGGTTTAAGATGGTTTCCATGATCTGTCCATACCATGCTGCTAGTTCAGGGTGTGAATGAGTCTTGCGGGGCAGGGAGCCCAGTCCCATGGAAACTCACTGCACGTTGTTGGATGAACAAGCCGTTAGAGTCTGTCCAGCTCTTGGATGAGAGTGCTGGTTTCAGGCAAGGGCAGCCCACCCTTCGTGGGGCACACTGGTGCTGGTGTGTGGACTGGTGAAGAAGTCCAAGTCCCCTGCTTGCGCTTGTTCATGGTCTTTGGAGTGAGATCATGGAGCAGCTATATGGTGGGGGCTGGTGATATCCAGGCATGATTTCACCTCTGAGTCAGTTGATTTCCTAGAAGCAGATTGGAAAGTGAGCAAAATGTTTATGGTCTGTGCTCCGATCTACCAGATTCCCGGCAGCGTAACACAGGCCGAGAGCAATTGGGATTTTACTAACGTGGTTTTCTCGTCTTTCTTTGACATGCGCAGGCTTTGTGTGTGAACTGGTCAAACCTCAAACTGCCCTGGGTAGATCTGGACTGGCTGATTGATATCTCCTGTCAGATAACGGAGCTTGATCTCTCTGGCAACTGCCTGGTCTCCCTTCCATCCGTGATCCCATGGGGCCTGATAAACCTCAGGAAGCTCAGCCTAGCTGACAATCAGCTGACGGAGTTACCCAGCGTGCAGTCATCTGATGAAATTATATGTACAAGGTGTGTGCACGAGATGCCTACAGCAAACTGAACCCGCACAGAGAGCAGGTGCCAATGAGTCAGTTGTGCTTGTGTGAAACTGCGTCAGTGAAGAGCGTATGCAGGAGCTTCTGGGTTTATTTTCTGTCTGCTGCAAGGTTTAACTTAAAATTTGTCCTTTTGCATTCTCAGTGTTTCCAAGTTAGTTGTCAGGACAATTGTAGGGACTTCTATTCCCATATAGTCTCATGTTGCTTCTGCTTTTCTCCAGCTGTGGTGAGCCCCACTCCTTTAAGTCTAAGCCCTGAGCTGACCCAGATTGACATTTGCTGGCTGGTATCAATTATCTGATCTGCTGTCTATCCAGACCACTTCTGTCTGCTCCCTGGAAGGGTTAATTTTCTAAATAGGGTTTTTTGCTTTGCCTTGTGAGATCACATTCCAGCTGCTTTCATTCAGATCTAAAGCTGTCCCGGAAAAATAGATGTCTATGGCAACAGGAGTCTTTGCTAGCATTTTCTTGATGCCTGACTGAGTATCTTCTGTACTCACAGGTTACTTGAGGTCGACGTATCCAGCAACAGGCTCACTACTCTCCCTTCTGGATTCCTACATCTTAAAAACCTTAAAAAACTCATCGCTTCCAAAAACTACATGGAGAAGTTATTTGACGAGGAAAACAGTACGTACAGTCCAGTGTTATGCTTACATTCCAAGGCCTGCTCTGTACGGGAGAACCCCAGACTGTTACAATAATGACTTAAAGACAGTATTAGCTAGAGATGCTTAGCATCTCTCATTTCGTCCAAAGTAGATGAAAAGAACTGGTTGTTTTTTAGGACTTGTGAAATCCTTTGGCTCTTACCTAGCAAAGTATGCAGCATCTTGTTGGGTCAGACTGCTGTTATGCTTACACCACGTCCGCAATGTTTCGTGTTTTCTAGCAACTAATTGGATTGGTTTAAGGAAGCTGCAGGACTTTGACGTCTCTGACAACAGGTTGGTGGAACTTCCAACGGTTTTTCTATACTGCTTCAAGTCCCTAAACATACTGAATGTTTCCAGAAATCAGCTGAAAGCGTTTCCAGATCCCTGGGCCTGCCCCTTGGTAAGTCGGACTGCTCTGATAGAGTCAGAGGCTGAAAAAGCTGTTGAAACAATGCAAAAAAATATACTGTGATGCTTAAAAAGCTGTCAGATGTCTTAGGCTAAAAGGCTGTTCTGTTTCGGTAGGAGTGCCCCTGCCTGATGTAGTTTATGGGTCTCAGATCAAGTCTTTCTGAGGTTTTACCCTGTTCTAACCATGTTGATGGCCTTGGTGGAAAATTTCTAGAAACATGTCTTATGTGGATATATTTGTTTTCTCTATAGTTCATATGAGCAGAAGTATTGTTAGGATCATTTTTACAGAATGCTTGGCCTTCATTCAAAGTTAACTTTTTCCAAACCCGTGGCTAACTAGGGCATCTATATCCGCCCATCACTGTGACTTTATTCCTCATTATTACAGGGATAGCAGGAGAACTGTATACTTTGGTGAAGTGTTTGTTTATGGTTGAAAAGCAAATGGGGGTAATTTTCAAAGTAACTTTTGAAATACTTTTTGCCTACCAAGGACTTTGCCCATCAATTAAGGGAGTGCATCTCCTCAGCAATTCTGATGTGCCTGCATGCACAATAATTTATCTAGATCAAAATATCGAAAGAGATCACCTAGAATGAATTTATTAATGCCTTAAACATGTGACAGATGATCTACCTCATTATTTGAAGAGATGATTACTATTCTATGGGTGTTTTTTCTTTTATGTTTTCCAGAAATGTTGTAAAGCATCTAGAAACTCACTGGAATTCCTACCTGATACATTGACTGTTTTCTGGAAAAATCACCTCAGAGAAGTGGATTTTTCTGAGAACTCACTAAAAGAAGTTCCACCGGGACTCTTCCAGCTTGAAGTGAGTGTCATTTCTTCCTACTTCACAGTACTTCTCTTAATACCTACTCAGATCTCGAAGTCATAGCAGTGGCTGCCTGGTTAAGGTAGGAGACTACTTGCTGTTTTGAGCTGATGAACACAGCAATTGCACAGAGCTTCTGAGCAGCCTGTAAGTCCCTGAATGACTACATTCGGGCCCTCGTCCAGTGTGATATGGTATCTAGCGTTTGTCACAGGTCTTCTGGGAACTCTTTGGATGTCTGTGATTTTCAAATTTTGCGAGCGCCATTTGGGAGACAGCCACTGCCTCGTAGCTCAAGCTCCAACCATTGAAATATAGATGTACTCAAGTGTCCTCACAAAAAGTTGTGTTTTTTCTTAATCTGGCACACCAGTGTTGTGTAATTAAGGATTAGTCTTTCTATGCTGAAAATAGCGTGTTTGAATGCCCTAAACAATACTAGTTGGCATCTCTCAGATCTTTAAGCTTGTGCGTATTAAATAATCCTTGTCAATGGACATCAGAGGTCCATAGTTTTGCTTAAAAATTCTTCAGAAATTGTGGTTTCATGTGGTTTCAACATGAAATGAAGCAGAACTTGGGGGTTTCCTCCAAGCTACCCTTCCAAATTGTGAAACTGAGGGTTGTGGAGATAGAAACAGAGGTAAATCTTTGTGCAGAAGTTTCATGATTTTCACTGATCACCTCTGCAGGAAGGGTGCTGGAGTGATTGTTCATATCCATGTCTAGTTTGGACCTCAGGAGTCTGCTGCAAAGGTGCCTGTTGCTCCTGCCTGGAAGAGTGATGAGGGTTGTTTACTCCCTTAGTTGTTTTTAATGATCCCTGCAGATTTGGCTTTGCTTTCTGGTAACCATTTGTTTTCAATTGGCATTTCTCCTGAAATAGAATGAATCCTATGGACTATTGTCTCTGAAACTTGTTTTTTCTGAATGCACTAAAAATAAGCCCAGTGGGTGGGAGCTACCATGACAGATATTAAACACTAGATGGTGCTTCAAGGGCACATTTCTTTGGGTGCTGCTGCTCAGAGGCTGCAGAGGGATGTGAAGGCACCAGCACAGGGTATCAGCAAAGACGTCAGTGCAATCTCTGCTGATGGTCTCTCTTCAAAGTTAGCAAGCTTTGGCTGCCTTAAATAGTGCCAGGTCTTATCCATATCTCTTCAGCCTTAACTTCATAAAAGAAATAAATAGCAGGTATTTTCAGCCCCCCAAGGACTAGATTGTGGTGAGCAAATAGCAGGTGAAGGCCTAGATCAGCCCTGGCTTGAGCTGTAGAGTTTCTGTTGGTGAACAGGGCTGCACTCGTGCTCCAACCCTGTCCAGAAGCAGATGTGGGAAGGGGAAGAAATGGGTAGTAACGCGTTCCTACATATAATGTAGGAAACATTACATGATTATGTAGGAACAGCAGTGAACTGTCTTCTCTCTGGGAAAAGCTGAAAGCAGAGGAGACCTGTGACTTGAAAGCATGTCTCTGACCTAGGCTGGTGGGATGTGTAGTTTATCACTGTCCTTTGGTTGGTTTGTGGAGGGGTCTTAAGACTATGACCAGCTCACAGTTGCTGATATGATGTATATACCAGAAATGTGGTATTAAGAGAAGCAGAGGCCTTCTCAGCTTTCCTGTCTGTTGCCTTCTAAAGGAACCAACCATATGTGCTCCAAGCCATGTCTTAGTTCTCTAGCCTAGTTTGCTTCTCCTGAAGAAACCTGACCTTCTCTGGGTGGAAGTATTCAGGTAAGACTCTGGTCAGCTTTTCCACATCACGAGCTGGCCGAGGCAGCCTCATCTGGATGCTGCAGTTGCTCCCCTCTGGTGTAATCGAGCTCACCAGAGCCCTTTTTGCATGCTGCAGCAATAGGTTTGAAGGAAGTTGTCTGCTGCTGCCATTGTCTCATTTCTGGAGGCACCCATTCTCTTCCTGAAAGTCAGCAAAAATTGAGAAGTTAGAGATGAAAAAGAAGAGGCAATTGCAAGACAAGGACTAGTGGTCTCCAGAATTACAGTCATGAAGAGCCACAGCCAGTTGAAAGTCACTAATTTTCCCCCTACGGAGCAGGCACATAAGCATTGCACATAATCTCACCAGGCGCTCAGCTCTCCTGGAGAGTGGCCTTTGTCAGCGTTTGTGGGGGACATGTAACATGGATACGGTTGACTGAAAATGAAGCACCCCCGCTAGACCACACAGAACAAAGTTTGTGCTAATTCTGGAACACGTAGGCTCCCTTTTCTCCCGCCCCCTGCGCAGGGATGTTTCGGGGGAGAAGTCTGAAGCATTGTCATTGAACAGCCCCATGCTGATACTTGGAGAGAGCTCGACAACCAGGCGCCGAGGGAGGGCTGGGTCTTCCAACGGGAGGTTCGAGCCAGTGGAAGACTAATGATGATAAAAGCATTGGCTGTCAAGACGCGAGTGGCAGGGAGGGTTTTATAGTTTCCACGGTTTTCCAACCCTTTCCTCTAGTGGTTCGCTCTACGCATCTGCGAGTTTGTTTCCCTTTACCTTCCCCAAGTCCCACCAAGTGCTGCCCCACTCTCATCACTAGAGGGAGCGTTTTGCATGGTAATTGCCATTCCAGCAACTGCTGGTTGTCCATTGCCTATGTCACATGGATACCTCATATTTTTCCAATCTGAGAAACAGGGAGGAAGGCCAACAGACTGGCTTCGTGAGACATTGTTAATCCTGCTTGATGAAAAGGGGCATAAACCTTTTATATTATGTGGAACACATAAAACAGTTAACACACTTGAAGCTGAAGTCTGTGCTGGTAAAACATTATTTCCGTGGGATATAATTCGTTAATACAGCCGTATTTATGGCATGAGATAATTCAGCTGACATTCTGCTTACCTCTGTTTTCATGGGGGGACTTGGAGAATAAACCTGGCTGGAAATTCTACACAGAAGACTGTTTTTCAGTGGGAAATTGGATTTTCAGTCAAATAAAAATTATCATTTAAACCTTAACATTATTTTTAAAGGCAGGTGGAAGAGCAAAACCTTTACAAATCTGAATGTGAACTGCATTTGTTTCTTTTATATTTCACTTTAAATTTAAAGGAGGGCTTGTGTTTAACCTTATTCACGGTATTTGCAGCTGAGTCCTATCTGTATGGTGTTAACTGTACAAGTCAGCTCCACTGCTTGTTTTTAAAATTCCTGTCTCTAGTGTGAGGAAAAAAAAGTAGATAGGTAACTTGTATAAATCTTGGAAAATTAATATAAATCCTTTCCATTTTAATATACATGTAATAACAAAGGAATTAAAGTTTTTCATTGTGTGAGATGGTTCACATTTTGCACATTGATTTTATGCATGCACAACAGGTGTAAGTCCACTCTGGCTTTAGCTTGCACACACGTATAAGACTTCTCAGTAGGTAAATCATACTGTTCTTTTCCAGTTGGAAAAGTTTCCTCACTAAAAGTAAAATGTCCTCTTATATGGGTTGTTTCCAATTGCATCTGTCAGCAAGTAGACTAATAATCTCCCAGAACTAATAGTGGTGTTGCTTCGTGCAGAAAATATACTTGCTGGAAACAAGAAGGAAATGTTTGCATGCTAAGTAGCACGGACAGGACGTTCTGATGAATAAGATGTACTTTCTTCATGTTTCTGTCATTTAATAGCCACGCTAAAAAACCTCTTTCTGTGTGTTTAATGGACTCTGTCTTCTAACTCTAGGCTATTCCTCTTGTAGGCTTTGGTGTCCCTGAAGCTGCTGGGAAATCAGTTAGTTACATTGCCTTCACAAGACAAGTGGAATTGCAAACAACTTAAATCACTGGATCTTTCAAAAAACCAACTTGGGAAGTAAGTGTTTCTTTCAGATTTTGTCTGAGAAAACAAAAGCTGAAGAAATAATAGCAAACCCGAACCCTCCTGTAATACAAAGGGTGTCAGTAGTGAATTAATTACCTGCATAGAAGGCATTGATATCCACATACCATGTCTCTAAGTATATTGTGTGTCTGTGACAGTGACGAATTATCCTTTACTGATTCTTTGAGCATTTAGCACCCTATATCATTTATTAAGTGGATAGATTACTGATAATGGCAGTTTAATTTCAGAGCATGTAGAAATTTCTTTAACCCCCTGTGTGGTTCATCACTACAAATACTAGTTTCTTGGGAGCATGTCTTAACCATAAACCATCTGGCTGGACTGCAGTTTGTAGTTAGCGTGGGAGTATTGTTTTGGAAAAAATTAAAAACCTTTGGTTTTTAAATGGAAGTGTAACCAGCTGCAAGTTCATAGAGAAGACTGACATTAATAAGGTCATCCAATACAAAAGTGATCTTCTATTTAGAAGTTACAGTAGGGATGTTTAACAGAGAGAGTTAAAGGTCCCTTACCTTCCCCAGAACTGCACTGAATTGTGCCATACTTCTATCTTCTCATTTGGGTGCCTGTCCAGCAAGTTTTCTGGAGTGCTTATGAGTTGCTGTGTCAGTTGCAAAAGACAAATTATTGGGTTTTGAATGTCTCAGTGCATTTCCAGAGTCATGTTGTTGGGTCATCTTGTCAGAGACTCTGGTGAGAGCAGGGTATGGCAGCAAGTTGGTTCTCTAGCGCTTCTCGTGAAGCTTGTTCAATTTGCTCTTTGACAGCCTACTTAACCTTGACACCCATAAAGCCAAGGGTCAAGTGCTCTCGCTCCGGGACATGAAAGCGCTGCCTTGCAGAGCTCTGTTAATTTGCCAGGAGAAAACCATTGGGCCTGGACGAGTGTTGGCGAACCGTAGCTCTGTGATTGCGCAGCAGGTTTCAATCCCACCTCTCAAAAGCAGACAGAAACCCGTAAGAGCTTTGCTGCGAATCCCACAGCCCTGAGTGGGGCCAAACTCCGCACCGCGTCGTGTCCTGGGCATGCAGCTCCAGCAGGGTTCTCAACTGCCCCATCCAAGCTCTTTTCTCCACATGTCACCATTTTGTTTGGCCCGCAGGAGTGACGAGGGATTTAAAACAAAGCGGATTCCCTTTTTCACCACGAAGAGCAGGGTGCGCTGTGGCCCAGAGGCAGGTAAGGTACACAGCGGTGCAAATGCGGGGAAGCCAGAGCTGAGAGTGCCAGCTGAGCTGTGAAGCAGCAGGAGTCTGTGGAGTTTGGCTGGAGGGAAATCAGCGTACATTCATCTGCAATTTTAAGTGCAACAGCATTTAAATTAAGAGGAAATACGTTTAGAGAAAATGTTTCTAGAGAAATGGTGCAGCTGGTTGGTACATCGATATAGAAAGATGAAGAATGAGCGAAACCTGTTCCTTTCACTGAGCTTTTACTCTTTTCATGAAGATTATTCGTTTTGGCCAGAGCACTAACTGGTATGTTGAAGGGAAATTAACCCATAATTAGTCTTACTACTCTTAGGATTGTTTCTGTTACTGAATTTGTAAATTGCGTGTTTCTCCCTGTCTCTGTGATTTGCAGCCACAGTTTGGGGCAGAGCGGAAGAGATGTTCCGGATTAGTGCACGTGAAATCCCAGAGAGAACAAAGGAATATCTGAAGATATTTGCACTGCTTCCTGCTCTCTGTGGGATTCATCTGCATTTCTTTTTGTTTGTTTGTTTTATTTTAAAGCACTGGAGAGCTTTCTCATTCTCGGCTGCCTGAAGAATGGCTTGCTCTAAAGCATTCTTTGCAAATGGCAGAGTGGAGTAGAGCTGGCGTCTTCATGACGCACATCCGAGCAGCCCGCAGCTGCTCACCGGTGGGAGAGCCCCTCCTGCTGCAAATGCTTTCTCAGTCCCCCTGAAAATTGCGCATGATCTCAGGTCAACGTGAGTAGGTAAAATTGGTAAATGCACCAAGTACAGCCACAGCTCTAGGTTAGGACCTCCAGTCCTAACCTCCAGTCTGCTCATCTGGGAGGCAGAGGCTCTACCTGGACCTCCAAGCAAGGCTAATCCTACCTCATTTTTCTGTCTATGGAAGTAGAGGCTGCTGTGCAGCAAGTCCTGTATCTGCACCCTAAGGAGGAGAAAGGGTTGGTCTGCATTGTTTTGCGAGTAGGAAATGGAAATCGAAATGCTGTGACATCAGTGAAATGCTGAACGTGGAAAAATTGGAAAAAGAGTCTGAATCTTGCAAATCTGTGGAGGTTGACATATCCTCAGAACTTCTCCGTGAAGTGCTACAGCAGCGTTTCCCAATGGAGAGAGAAGGGCAGGAGCAGAGGGCAAAGGCAGCTAAAACCAGCTGTAAAAGGAAATTGCTGTCCTAATGGAAATTTGTACATGCTGTGAACCCAGCGTAACCCCTCTACATAAAGGAGGCGAGGATGGACTCTGCATTAGTACCATCTGAAAAACCTTGGCACGTAATGCCTTGGTGGAACTTCAAGCTGCCTGAGGTTGCCTCAGGTTGTAGGAGGGCGCAGAGTAGCCCACCTGGCTGGTGCCATGGTTGAATAGCCACAGAAACAGAGCAAAGCCAGCTCATCTTTTTCTCTCTGTTCCTCTGCCAAGAATAGCTTGGTGAGACTAGAGGATGTGGCCAAAAATTTAAAGAACATCAAGAGAAAACAGAAGCTGGAGTACATCAGCCGCTCACAGAAGTCTCCTAGCGAGGTGGGGGGCAGGTTTTCATATGATTTTACCAACAAAACTATTTACTCAAGTCTAGATTATTTAAAGAGAATAATTTATGGATGGTCACTATACGTGATTGATAAATCTCAGAATAACTTCTTGCACATGCATGTGGCGTTGGTGGCATTTACTCATCCAAAAATATAGTTTCAAGATGGGATTTGTTTTAATTTTTCTACAGTTCTTTAAAAGAAAATTTGAGCTCAAGCCAGAGAAATCATAAATAACTCATGAATAAATAATTACGATTCATAAACACCTCAAGCTTGCTTCCAATATAGTACACTCCTTTCTGCCTGGGACTCCTTGGTGAATTGAGAGTATTGCTACTATTTTAGGTGTTTGCTCCTACGTGTCCAAGAAGGACTAAATCTGTCTGTGCCTAGGTGTCTACTGAAGAGGAACAATGAAAAGTTTAAGTCCCGCGATGAGCCAGAAAGGAAGTGAATTGAATCCATGAATAAGCCTGCTGTTTTCCGAAAATAATCCCAAAGATGATTTTTTATTTGAATACTCAAAGGCTGACTGTGACACCATGCCCACAGTCCTGTCACGTATATAAAACACCCCTGCAGGCAGTGGGACTCTTATCTTACTCCTTTTCTGATCGTAGCTCAGGCTTGAAATGCTGTTAACATTACAACTGGGGCGTTTTCTCCTGAGAAAATCTCTTCCATTTTCTTCTTTTTTTTTTTTTTCTTTTTTGACTAAGTCCAGTTACAGTTCCTCAAGTGTTCTCTGTAAGGGAAGATCTTGGTGGAAGTGCAACTGTCCTATCCTTGAGGAAGGGTGTGTCTTGCATCTCAGGGAGTTACTTGTATTGACCGTGGAGGCAGCAGATGGTGCTGGTTGTATTTTCCTAATCAGAGACTCAGAATCTGCTTGTCTCTGTGTGGCCTAGTTTTCCTTGACTTTTCAGGGTGCTTCTTGGTAGATATATGTGACGCTCTTAAGACAGCAACACAATTCATGGCAGCTTTTCATGCCACTATCCCCGGAGTAATCTGTGGAGTGAAATGATGCTCTTTGGAACCAGCTGAATTTCCCTTTGTTTGAACTTCTCCAGCAGCAGCAACTCAGCCATGCAGTTGTTGCTATTATTGCTTGGGTTGCTCCCAAAATACGCTAGTTGCTACTCAGACATGTAGCAAGTCTGATGTGCCTTGAGACCTTGCAGGCTAAAACAGAACAGAGGGGCAAATGTGAGCGGTGTTTTACAGGCAGCATAGGTTAGCCATCTGTCAGCTGCAGTTTGGGTTTTCTTCTCTGTTGTTATTGACTTTGATCCACCATAAATTGCTCCAGGATGCAACGTGGGGGCCTGAACATAAATTCTGACTGGCTTCTGGATTTTCTCAGGCAACATGCAAAAAACATGTTGAGAACCACTTGAGCCCTTGGTATGCCCTTTCACTGCCGGCTGTTAGGCTGGAATAGGGGCAGTTCACAAGGTACTAACAGCTATTCAACAGCGAGAAATATGCCACTCGTCCTCCGATGTATAGTTGTCTTGGCAGGCTTAGAGTTCCTTCCTCAGCACCCCAGAAGTCCTGGAGACTGTCACCTTCAAACACGTGCGTCACCCTGATTTTAAAAAAATTGAGATGTGAGCACTGATGTTTGATTGCCATTGAATGCCGTTTGCTTTTCTGCTCTTGCTTCGTGGTGGTTCCTGCCAAGGAACATGACCTCATGTCCTGCCTACAAAGTTAAGGTGAAGGCTCTTGGTTCTGAGTCTTGGTGCCTGTTATGTTTTAAAGGTGCAATTTGTTTCCTGTCTTGTTACAGGTCCTTTTTTGGAGTTTCCAGCATTTCTGAGTGATTCTCTGGAAGTCCTTTATCTGAACGACAATCAGCTGGACTCTGTCCCGCAGTCTGTTTGCCTTCTGAAAGGTTTAACAGAACTTTATTTAGGAAAGTAAGTCCGTGTCCTGGAAAAGCTATGCAGTATTATTTCCATGTTGTTTTAGTGACCAGCCTTCTGTGGAGCCCCACCCCAGATGTCCAGTGCTTTTGAAGTCAAAAAGCTGGAAAAAGTCAGCCCCTTGTTAAAACTGTGCCCATCATTTGCTTTAGATAAGGAGGAGGCAGGCCTTTTGAATTAGGGAAGATGATCTAATGCTTTGAACACAGGCCTGGGAATCTAATGTGCCTCTAGTTCATTCTAGCTTTTTGCTGTCAGCTCCTATAACGTTAGGGTCAATAACTCGTCATTTTTGCCTTTATTTCCTCAACTATCAGTAAAGATGATTACACTTGTCTGCCTCAGAGGATAAATTGAGGTTATACATCACTTTTAGGATGGAAATTACTATTAAAGTGCTGAGTAGTCTTATTAAAATGTTAATGGAAGATTTCTGCAAGGAGAGAATAGTGTAATCTGAGAGTCCGTGAGAGCAGCTACTTACACACAAAGCCTGGTTGTTGGTAGATTTATTTGTTTTTGTACAGTAACCCTGGTATCCGAGAGCTTCCTCCAGAACTTGGACAGCTGGCTAATCTCTGGCAGCTGGATATCGAGGAACTAAATATAAGTAACGTTCCTGCAGAGATCAGAAAAGAGGGTAAGGCTGATCCTGTGTGTTCTTTATTAAATTGACTGAACATATAATGAAAATCGCTTCCTTTTAATGGTCCTGAACAGCAGCAGACAGTGTGCACCCAAGCCCTTGTTGCGGTTAACTGGAATTGCATAGGAAAACCACCTACACATATTTGCAAATTTGATAATCAGTGCTGACCTCTGGCTATATGATCAATTTAAGATAGATCACATGTTAAAACGATGACTTATAAATGCAATATTTCATTTGCAGTATGTATGCTGGATAAATTCCATGGCTTGCTTCCTGAATGTGTATATTTTAGGGTATTTAGATGGTCATTCTAAAGACTGAAGTGTTTAGGATCAGCAGTCACAGTCACATTGGAATGACTTTATTGTAAGCTGCTAGGTTTTTGGATCTATTACAATACTGTCTTCTTTTTTTGTGTTTTAATAAGAAAATCCTGTGGGAACAAATTTATTAGGAATTTATTCCTTCTCCAGCACACTGTTGAAGCCTAAATCTAATTTTAACTGGAAACATAAAAGTAGAAGGAAAAACCGAGTATTTTCCAATACTAAATTAGTATTTTATGTTTCCTTTGAGCTTCTGAAGCATACGAGCCATAGCATTTGTTTCTTCTTACAGTGCTCCATTGTAGAGTCTCAGAGCAGTGACCTTTTTCTGGGGTCTCTGTCTCAGGTTTGTCCACTAGAGGTTTCTTTGTTTATTCTCTGGGTTGTCTCAGCCCACAGCGAAACTGCAGGGAAAATATTAATTCAGCTGATGTGTCTGCAGCAGTAGGTTTTGTGTAGTCCTGCTGTACATATGCACGTTTGTAACTGCTAACCACAGATAAAGCCTCTTCACTTCCCCCCCATAGGTCCTAAAACAGTGCTGGCATACTTACGAGCGCAGCTGCGCAAAGCAGAAAAGTGTAAGCTAATGAAGATGATCATCATCGGTCCTCCACGACAGGGAAAGTCGACGCTGATTGAAATCCTACAGACAGGAAAAGTCCCCCAGATGATGCACAGCGATGCCACCATACGTACAACAAAGTGGGAGCTCCCAAAGCCAGTGGGACACAAGGCAAAGGTGAAAAACAATGGAAGATCTGTAGCCTCGGTTGGATGTTTGAGGCCTGCAGTGTCCCTTTTGGGCTGAAATTGCCTGCCCTTTTACAAAGAACAGTTTCCATTACCTGTGAGCCAAACCTTGCAAGTGACATGCTTTTAGACCCGTCACAATTCCTCTGTTTCATTTCCAGTTGGTGCTAGAGGACAGTTCTGTTTTCCTGAGCACTCAACTTTGTACCCTAAAGAGAGGGTGCCACGTGTAGGCTGCCTAAATTCTGGCTCTCCCAGCTCGGATGGTTTTTGGACACTGATTCTGAGAGAATGTTTTAAATCAGCTTCTCTAAAGCAGATTGTCCTTTCATTTGAGGCCAGAAAATGGGACATCAGTACCTAAAGCTGGAGTCCCTTGATATCAGATCTGTCCTAGATGGGGAAGGTGGGTGGAAGGTAGGATGCCTGACCTCTGGTGTGATCCAGGGATGTCTAAGGCATACCTTAAACACCCAAATCTCAGATGGTTCATCCAGGGAGTGTGTCGACCCATACTGAACTCATTTGGACAGCACTGAATTCATTCAGGCATTTGTAGGTGGCCCTGTCTACCGCCGGTGTAGTAACACAGGGATTAGAGCACACAGAATTGGTCCTGAGGTCTTGTCAGAGCTGAGGGTGTGCAAACGCATGGCTCTCCCTTCCCGGAGGAGAGCCATGACCACCAGACTGTTTTGGAAGGGATGGAGGAGCCTGCTGAGTTCAGTTATTCTACAGCGAAGAGTGCCAGGCCAGAGACAGAGAAAAAGAGCAAGCACAGCCTGACTTTTTAAAGAGAAGACTTCAGTGGGAGAAGGGATTTGTGCATTTTGTGTTGAAGAGCAATTGAATAAAATAAAATCCTAGACAGCGTCAGAGACCTGGAGTGGGATCAAGATGCTGAACAGGCTTTTGTCCCTACCTCTGAGTCTCTGTTTCCATACAGGCACCCACAGCTGAAGGTCTTTTGGATGAACAAAGCAGTCCTGGTGCTAGTTAGAGCTTGGTTTAAACAATATGGAAGTTCTTCCAGCTGTTTCTGGGAGACTTCAAACTGGGACTATGCTAGGAGATCAGAGCCCTACTGAGATACTTAGCTCCTTGCTGAAATCTCATAGGGTAACTTGTCATGTGGGATCAGTCAGTACTTGGACCTGGACCGGTAAACAGAGCCCACTCGGTGTTACATGATGCTGTGAGGATGGTGGCTGGAGCAGGGTTTAGTTTTCTGCTCAGTCACAGGCTGCTTGCCTCCCCGGTGATTTAGGGACAGAGCCTCTAAAGTATGTAGGTGCGTCCTCCTGCAACTGGGAGCCTGAATACCGTTTAAGCAGAGCACCATGCTCCCTCTTAGTGCTGTTGTGGGGCTGCATGGAGGAATGGATGCCGAGATACTTGGAAGAGAGCCAGAGCTAGAGAAGCCTCCATGTACAAGTTCCCCCCAAAATCAGTGACTCTGATTTAAAGTAGCTGTAAATCTCCCCATCTCTGGTGTGACACACACGTCAGAAGCCTCTGAGCGATGTGCAGGAGGTGTTTATGAAAGGCTTGAGAAGTTTCCCATCTCCTGAGCATCTATATTCTGTTTGGCTCAGTTAGGGCTGAGCTCAGTGGAAGTGATTTCAGCAGGGGGTTTCCTGTTCCCCACAGCAGTGGCAGATAAGTAGCTTCAACGGTCCTGTCGAGTGTGGCACAGCCAAGGATGAAACAGTTTCTGTTCAAGATGCAGTGAAATACAGGGCTCAGAATGGGACCCTTGTTTGTACTGGAGAATCCACAGCATTAACTGGAGATTTACCAGCATCAAGGGCATCTCTATCGTTTTAGCAGCAAGTAATTAGTCTTGATTTCCTGTGGGGAAGTGGTAGCCATGCTTAACAATTGCTTGTTGATTTTTCTTTCCTGGAGGCACAATTAGGACATTGAAACCCTTCTTGTGTCATACATTATGCAGGCGTAGGTTTATACTTCAGCTATTATCTCCCTGTGATTTACTGCAACCGTTTGATTTGAACACTTCTCTTTGTCTAAGTAGGTTGATTCAGTGGAGTTCAATGTCTGGGATATCGGAGGCCCAGCAAGCATGTCTACAGTCAATCAGTGTTTCTTCACAGACAAAGCATTGTACATAGTGGTATGGAACTTGGCGCTGGGGGAAGAAGCTGTGGCAAACTTACAGTTCTGGTTGCTGAACATTGAGGTAAGAAGTCACTGGTGGACTCTGGGGTATCTGTTTATCAAGTAGTAGCTCAGCACACAGATATGTGATATTACAGATTCTTTTTGGTCTGCTTTTAAAAACTCAGCAAGCTATGAATTTTGCATAGCTTTTGGAATTAATTTTCCATTACACTGTAGGCGTATCGCTATATTTAATGCTTTAAATTTATCATTTGCTTTGTTCCCTCTCACACACATCAGAGAATGAAACAAAAGCTGATTTATAAACCCTTGCTAAGTAAGGCTGAACATACTTATTTTGGAATTAGTGTTTGACCACACTGTGCTCCAAGGGGTGTTTGAAGCGTTTTCTTTCTTGTGTGGGTTAGACACATATTAGTCTTGAGGTTTTATTTTTAACACTTTAGATTCAAGTAAGCGAGAGTGTATCTCCCAGACAGCCCTCAGCTGAGACTCAGAGCTGCAGTCAATTCATTGGTGTTGGCTGATTTTTATAATACCATGTTCATAATTTTTTATAACAATGTTCTTTATTTGATATCTGTCTTAACACTACAGACACAGAAATGGGCTCTAAGCCAGTGCCTCTTAAAAAAGAAACATCTTGACATTACAAAAATGTTAGCTTAATGTTCAGCAGCAACCAAAAACCCAAACTAGGTAACAAAGCTCAAAGCATGATTTCGGTATTTCAAAAATATATGATGTGCCTGTGCCCTTAATACGTCTCAGCAAACACATTGCGTCAGAAAAGGTACAGAGAAAGGTGAACATGGTGGTTAAAGGTATGTAGAAGCTTCTGAGTGCACAGCAAATTAATAGATTAGGCCTCTTTGGTTTGGGGAAGAGGCAGATGAGGAGGGCTGCAGTAGGCTGGGTTATGTAGACTTACCAGGGGGTGAGGAGAAAACCACAAGGGAGTATTTGTTCATGATCTTTTACAATAGAAGAATTACGAGAAATTAAATGAAATAATGAGATGGTTGCTCTGAAACAAACAACAGGAAGTATCCTAAACACAACAGATAGCTAAGCTGTGGAATTTATTGGAACTACAGTGTGCTGTGGGTGTCAGAAGTTGAAAAACCAGTCTGGTGGAAGAAAAATCCATCAAGTGCTGCTAATTCAGAGATGCCGTCTCACGCTTAGGAAGATGGTGAGCTGCAGGCTGCTGAATACTGGGAGAACACACCAGGGAAAATCTCTGTGTGCCTACCCTGTGCCTATACTCTTCATTAGCTTCTAGGTGGAATATTGGGCCAAGTGGGCCCTTTGGTCTGACTTGCTAGAGCCATCACTCGTGTGTCTGCACAGGGTTCGAGTTTGGTGTCATTCAGGTTAGGAGATTTCACTGGGCATCGTAAGAGAGAAATGGATTGGCTGCAAATAAGCATATACTTCTGCATCTGAATATCCTTCTGTGGTCGAAGTCGTTTGGATCCGCAGGCTGATCCCTGCTTAAGCCTGTGCAATCCCATTGTATTTGGCAGCGTGTTCCCTGAAATCTGGATACGTTCCAGTGCTGTAATTGAATCATGGAAGGGTTGGAAGAAACCACGAGATCATCTAATCCATTCCTTTGCACTGATTCAGGATTAAGTAGATTTAGGCATTTCTAGCCGTTTATCTCACCTCTCCATATACCTCCGGTGAAAAAGTTTGTATCACTTCCCCAGGTATCCATTCTGGAGTGTAACTAGGCTTTTCCAGGATATCAGAGTTAGATCTTCTGGCTACAGGTTAAGCTAACTTCTTTTCCTTTGTCTGGGTGGACGTAGTTCCCATCATTTAGCTGACTTGTAGCAACTTAATACCACATGGCAACTCCCTTTATGTTAAGCCCTGATGTAATAAACCCAAACTGACAGCTTCCTGCTCTGCAGTAGCAGCAGATGATTAAGCCATATTCTGCAGGAGAACTTCTGTAATACCCAGATCCCTTGTTGCTGTTGTCAAGCTGCCACGACAGGTTGCCTCCATTTTATATATATTCCGTTCTATTAATGTACATGACTACCCCCTCTTAAATATTATACTTTTCACATGTCCTCACTGAATTTACCACGACGTAATCTGGATGAGATCATTGTCAGTGTTTTCTCTTACAGGCCAAAGCTCCAAATTCAGTGGTGTTAGTAGTAGGAACACACCTTGATTTAATTGAAACTAAATTCCGTGTTGAGAGGATAGCAACTCTGAGGGCATACGTCTTGGCTCTCTGTCGATCTCCCTCTGGATCCAGAGCAACCGGCTTTCCAGATATCACATTCAAGCACCTGCAGTAAGTACTTGTGCCTTTATGAAACTCAGTCACTCTATTTTATGTCACTTTAAACAATTTTGTAATACTTGATCTCCTTGGCAACGGAACTGATTTAAAGACTCATCAGCATTGCATTTCATCTATTTTTGACTGAGATAATGTAGGATAATCAGAGAGAGGTTCAGTGTAGCTCGAGAGTCTGATCATGGGTCTGAGAGCTGGAAGCTCCAAAGTCGTGACCTTGGCCAGCCTGTTTTAGTGCTTCTCCTCCACTCAGGCTTTACACCATTAAATGGTGATACAATTTATTAGTCACGGGGAGAGAAGGTACAGATTGAGTAATTCACGCTGCAAAGCTTGAGAGCATGAGTGTTACAGGGTGGGTACCATGGGGTTTAAGGGGAGGATGTGTGAGAACCTCTTGCTACCTGACACGAGAATGCAGCTCACGTGGCAGTGTTGGCAGGGTGAGGAGTGGTCAGCCCCGGGGGCCCCCGGCAGCCCAAACCTGCGCCGTCTGAGTTCTCTGGGTGTGATAAAGGAGGGATGGTGCTGCCTGGAAGATGGGTGTTGGTCACCGATCATCGGCTGACACCGATCCCTCCCTTCGGCTGATGGAGAATGCCCTTGGGGAGAGAAGGCTTCTCTGGCTGGGGAGGAAGCGGGTCTGTCAGCCAAGGGAGTGCACAGCACGGGGGGAGCGTGGATGCCGCAGGCTGGCACCGAACAGTGTGAAATCGCCGACGCCTGGGGCGAGAGCAGGCGGTGGCTGGCAAGTAAAGAAGGGTGCTGCGATGTCCTCAGCGCTTTGCATCTGCTGCCTGGCAAAGTCATCAGGAGACCTCCCACGCTCCGTTCTGCAGATGCAAGTGCTGCTTTGGGCATCCCAGCTGGCTCTTTCCCGTTAGGAGAAGTACCAGGGACCCGGTGTGAGGCACAGAGACGCACAGTGTGAAAGAGCAAGCTCTGTGGTTCAGTCTCCTCAAATCTCTTTTCCCATCACCACAGAGCATCCTATCAACCATTCTTTCTCAAGAGGACTTTCTTTCACCCTGCCACACATCCCGCACGTTCCCCTTCTTCACCTTCCTTTTCCCCTGCATTTTCTCCCGGTTGAAGTTGTGCCTGACTTGTACCTCCCCCCTCCCATGCCTCTCCTTTGCACCCCATTGTCCACCCAGATGGGGCTCCTCTGAGCGGTGCTCCGGGCAGCCGGAGGAGCGTGAGGAGTGTGTGTTGTGAAAGCCTTGTGTGGGTGAGCCCAGAGTGCTTTTACCAGCGCTGGTCCTCCAGCATCCCAGTGAGTGCACGCTTCCCAGTGCCACTGGTGGCTGAGGTTTAAGATAAAGCATATCGCTTTAGGAAAGGATTTTCTGTCTGCCACAGGAACATGTGTAGGATCAGTTAGAAAGACCTTTTGTTGGGGAAAGTGGAAGAGAACCGTTCCTATCCGGCCCACAAAAAGGTCAAAAATAGTAGGAGCTGGAGAGAGCAGGTTTTTAGCTGTTAGAGATGATGAAGGCCAGCTTTTAGGATATAAGCATCAATTCCCAGATCACAGGATCCAGCTGAGCAAGGGCCAGAATGAGGGTAGGAAAAGGTGTCTGGTAGTCATCATCGCACCTCTTTGATCCGAGGCGGGGAGAACGGGACTCGTCTCCAGCGATTGCCAGAGCACAGTGTTCTCCTCCTTCCCGTAGCCCCTTCCAGGGTGTGTGTGGCACTGAAGGGAAAAGGGTGATGACTTTGGCTGGTGTGGCGGGGAGTCCCCGGAGGTCGCGGGGCACAGGGGACAGAGCGCAGTGCGCCGCGAATGAAGCAGGCAGAGCAGAGCTTGGCCTAATACGTCTTTTCCAGGCTTCTTCATGTTTTTTTCCAAAGCTAAAAATGCTCACTGACAGCCTTCCTCCCGTTCATCTGACACGGGAGGTTTTAAGTCACTGGCAAGAGAAAGTGAGCCTGGAAGGGAAGCCTGTGTGCTGTTAAGGTTTGATAATCCTCACCCTTGCATGACTTTTGCAGTGAGCTCTCCTGTAAGACTCTGGAAGGCCTCGATGGACTCCGACAGCTGATTTTTCATGTCACTTGCAACATGAAGGACGTCGGCAGCTCAATTTGCTCACAAAAACTTGCAGGGAGATTGGTAAGAACTCTGCTTTCTAATGGTGATCCTTACCAAAGCGGGGCTTTTTGGAGGCTTCATTTTTGGTTGGGAGATGAAGTTTAGGAGTTACTGCTGATGCAGGAGGCATGTGAAGTATATAATATGGCTATCTGGCTTTGGGGAAGGACAGTACTGTAGGATCTCTGTAAAGGGAAGATGGCTTAGCCAGTTCATCACCAGCAGAGTGATTGTTGTCTGATATTTTTCTCATGTGACTTGCAGATACCAAGAAGTTACCTTAGTCTTCAAGAAGCTGTCCTTGCAGAGCAGCATAGAAGAAGTCAGAATGATGATGTACAGTATTTAACAGACAGACAAATAGAACTGATCATTGAGCAAACCCCTGGAAATGATATCAAAGACTACGAAGACTTGCAGACTGGTAGGTCAGAGCAGACCAGTAATTTCTTGGAAATCAATATGTGTGACCGATTGAAATATTCCATGAATAATAAAAATGGAGGGGAGCCCACCAGATAATTGGTGTGAAAAAAAAAAAACCCAGTTACAGGGTGCTCTACAGCTGTGTAGAGGTCACTTTGGGAATTGGTGAGATATAAAATTAGTACTGGGGCTTTGGGGAGAGGGCTGGGAAGTTTCTGGCATGGTCTGAAGCTACTAATTTATTTTTTTTAAAACAAGCTTTGTCTGATATTATTTCTGCTCTGTGAAGAATGAGGGTTGTCATAGTTTCAAGGCTGTCTTCTCTGTAGGGCCCCAATCCTGTGATCTTTACAGAGGCCTTGCTCTGCAGAAGGCAGGGAGAGCCCTTCACTGTGAGGCTGGCAGCAGGAGGGTGAAGGGCTCAGAAATACTGACTGTAAAGTGGTGAGACGTGGGTTTTACAAGTGGAGTGCCAGATAGCAGCACTGCTCAGAGAAATGTTATTCTCCTGGCTTGGCTACGTGCTGGCTATATCTGGTATGCATAAAACTGCACAGACTGCCTCATAAGCTTATTCATCTGCACTGTGGTTTCCTAATGCTGGTCTGCTGATAATCTACAATTCTTTTTTTTTTGCAGCAATTAATTTTCTCATAGAAACAGGTACACTACTGCACTTCCCAGACACAAGCCATGGCCTGAGAAACCTCTACTTCCTTGACCCCGTCTGGCTCTCAGAGTGTCTACAGAGGATTTTCAACATCAAGAGCTCCAAGTCTGTAGCTAAGAATGGAGTCATCAGAGCAGAGGATCTGAGGATGCTGCTGGTTGGGACGGGCTTCACTGAGCAAACCGAAGAGCAGTACTTCCAGTTCTTGGCCAAGTTTGAAATTGCACTGCCTGTGGCCAATAACAGGTATATTGATAATTAGAGAGGCTTCATCAGGCTGGAGAAAAATGGCCATTTAATCAGCAGATATTAACAGGCCTTGTCACTATAAGTGGTTGTCTTGACAAGGATCTTGGTATGAGAAAACATTTGAGTGCCTTTAACAGTGTAACGGAAGGCACCCATCCATTTGGGCTGTATTTCCTGGCACGAGCATCCTTTGGTCCAAACAAGCTAGTTGGAAAACTTTCCAAAGCAGGTCTTTGTCCCCTCGGAGCACTGAGGCTGGTGACAGGCTCAGCGACCAGCACGGAGGGGCAGTGACACCGCCAGGGCTGTGGCCATGAGCAGGTGGAAGCTGTAAGGACTCAGCCAGCGCAGCTGCAGCTGAGATGATGTGAGGCTCGTGGCTGCTGGGCCTGAAATATAGATGGGCTGGAGTCATCTGTTTCCAGTGAAAGATCCTCACTCCAGAGTATGGCAGAAAACTTTGGGTAATCAATAATTATGTCAGCCCTGAAATTAGTAGTATTTTATTTCTAGTGAAATCAGGAAAGTGTAGCTTCAGTAGCAATGTGATTTTCTTAATTTTTAGACTCAATAGGTGTTGAACAATAGTTTTCCTAGGAATGGTCTAGGAAACCTCATTCTCTTTAAATGTTAATGAGTCCTCCTCCCCTCTGCCCCCCAATCTCTTTTCCTCTGGGCAGACTTCCCTGCTATTTTTCTCTCTCCCATCTGCTTGGCGACAGCCTGTTGTTGCGTTAACGGTGAAACCATAGTTGTATTGCACTTTTGATGTGGCATTTGCATTTCACTTCCTTGCCCTTCCAGGACAGCATGGCTGCATCGCCCTGAGCCTCTCGGGAGCTCTGAATGCCAGCACAAGTGCAGCATTCTCTCTGCTGTCATTATGCCTGTCACTTATCCAGTCCCGGATGCCAACAAATTTTCTCAGGCTTAACACAGATAAAGCAGCAATGTTTCTGCTTAGTCCAAAATGCCTTTTGGACTCCTTGTCACTATCTGCCATTTTTCTCCAAGGCAATTACATTGTCTGTGCCTCGGGAACAAGGAAACTGCTTTTTCGTGGCCTGCCCAATCTTTTTTAGAGTGATCCAAGCCACATTAGCAGAATATTCTTCCCACTGACGGACTGTAGCTGTAGCGGGTTGGATTAATTTAATGTACTAGCCAGACACAGAGCAGTTATTTGTTACTGTGCTTCTGCAATTATTGTCTAGATTGCCAGATAGGGTTTCTGTGCAGTCAGTAGAGAAAGCAGCTGCCAGTTTCTGTTCTGAAAAGGTGGATGGGGGCATGTTTCACATATTTTCAAAATTTGCATTGGCTGTTGTTCAAGAGCATCGAATCACCATCTGTATTACAATCCACTATATAGTTGTGGTCCAGAAGGGCCTCACTGGCCTTCTTATGATCCTAAACCCTTTCTTGGGTGTGCTGAGGAAAATTTATTGGCTGTCATATGATGCATCCACTTTTAGTTTGATGCGCTCCACTTTTCTGCCTAAGCTGCATGCAATTTAGCTTTGTTCTGATTGTTAAAATAGTGTTGAAAGTATGACCATACTTACTGTAATTTATAAGTGAAGACAAATTTTTATCAGTTTTCCATTCCAAAGATGTTTCATGGAACAGATAATTTGATCATGTAAAATGTCATCAGATGTTATGGACCGTGACATATGGAGAGAGCTGTTGTCTGGTGATGGCTGGTTTTTTCTGAGCTGATATTTCAGGTTTTACACAATACTGCAGCTGCTAGAGAGAAAACGTGATAGGCTTAAAGCATTGGATTTGGACCCAGCATTAGTTCTAGTAGTGTGTCTAGTCCCTGCCACTATTATTTTGGTCAAGTCCCTTGGCCGTTTGCCTCATTGCTGTCATTATGCCCATCAGTGATGAGCCCCAGATGCCGACACATTTTCTCAGGCTCAGTGCTGATAAAACAGCAGTGTTTCTGCTTATAAGCAAGTAAGATATTTGATCATATAGGCATCTTGGAATGTATTTGGTATAGAAGAGTATTGCTGTTAAGAGATTTATTGGCAGGTATTGAAAGCTGTAAGCTCATAGTTTTCAAACCAGTTCTAGGCTTCCAAAAGGTTTTAGCTTCCCAAACACTAAAGGTCAGGACAAATGAATATTCTGTGCTTACTGGGAGATATGAAAATAATTTGAAAACTGCCGGCGTAGCTCTGTTACTTCTGACTGGTCAGACTCGGATAGCGCTGAGTCTCTTCCACACTTGGGCAAAGAACCTAATAACCTGATTGTAGGAGGAGACTGAGCAAGACAAGTGATATGTCTGCTGGCGTCAGTCTGGCAAAGGGAGCTCTTGCCCTAGGAGTTTGTCAGGGATGTGGTAGGGAGTCCAGCAGCTGCAGTATGGTGCAGCAGGAAACCCTGTCACATTGACCGGTAAGATGCTCTCGTTCTGGGACTGGGATGAGAGCCAGAGCAGTTCAGTCCCTGCAGCCTGTAACTGCCTCATTGCCACCTCCCACGACACCCCGTCTCCCCACCTTCTGGGCTTACTGCAGCTGAGCTGCTCTAGGTTGGTTTTGCATTTATGATCTGTTCCACACAGGAGCTGTAATTTGCTGCTTACTACCAGGGCAGAGTAGTAAAGATACCAAAAAATGAGTGCCAACATCACAGCTGTTCTAATGACTTATATTTTAATGCATTTAATTTGTGATTACACAAATCTCCTGCTCATTACATCAATTTTAGGCCTGTCCAATAGCCCTGGCTGAATTATGTAATGTCTGTTTTGCCTCTGCTTGCTTCCATAGTGTAAATGAATTTCTCCATGTATTGCTGCAGTGCCTTTAGTCTAAAAGCTTTTTTATATGCAGTAGGCTGTGCCATTAAAAATCTCTTTGGAGGCTGAATCGCCTTATTATCCAGTAACAATGTACTCACTGTTACAAGCTGTAGCTAAAATCTGAGCTGTTGAATTTGATGTGTTTCAGCTACCTCCTCCCTCATCTGCTTCCTACCAAGCCAGCATTAGATATCCACGGACTCTGCCACCAGACCACAAACACAGTCCAAAGGGTCTTCAAGATGAGTTTTGTCCCTGTTGGCTTTTGGCAAAGATTCATAGCCCGAATGTTAATTAGCCTGGCAGAGATGGACCTCCAGGTAGGTTACCGTATCTCTCTGCAAGCAAAAGAAGACAGCTAAAGTTGTTGTTCAGTTGTAAGTGTTCGTGGGTGTCTCTTCACATCCAGCTTGCTTCAGTCACAGACTTCAATAACGTTATTTGAGTAAATAGGGGGAGATGAGATTCTGCAATCAAAATCTGATTCTGTTTTCACAGTAGGTGTCATTTAGAGCAGCAAGTTGGCACTGGGAAAGAAAGCCTGCGTTCTCCACAGCTTCTTTAAAACATGATCCCCTGGAAGATCTCAGTACCTCCATCATCTTCCAATTACAAGTAATTGGAGTTCTGTCTGCAGCTCTTGTCCATGGCTGTTGCACTGGGCCAGACTCTGCTCACGTTGTTTGCCAGTGGAGATCTGGAATAGCTCCACCGAAGTCAGCTATCTGAATCTATATGTGTTTAAATGAGAAGAAAATTACAGGACTGTTGCCTTAATGGGGTAATGAGTGCAAGCAGGCACCCTATTAGTGCAAGTGGTATGCATATCGTTAAAGTAGTCTTTGTAAAGTTTTGAAAGCTAAGTGAATTTTCGTGTTGTTACAAACATGTTTTCGCAGCAGCTTATATCTGAAAACATAGCCCTGCTGGAAACTGTAATAAAGACCTGCAAAATATTTTTAGTATGACTGTGTATCTTCTTAACAGCTATCCGTTTTAAACTGTGTTCTTTGTCATTGATGTACAGAACATGGAAAACATGATACCTCTTTTTGGAAAGTCCTCCGTGTTCCAGGCTTCTCAGACCATGTAATAACTTTACCTGTTTTAACGGGCTGTCTTGGCAACCCCTTGCTTACAACCTCATGGGTACTACATAACCCTAGAGCACCTTTGCTAGGAACCTCATCCAGTCCTCACTGGCGTGAATGGAAGGGATCCCAGGCGTCAGACCCGTCTTGCGTTAGAGCAACGAGTACCGTGGAGTTCTGCAGATTAAGTCTTTGGTTTTAAAACAAAAATACATTTTGCTCTAAGTGCTGATTTGAAGTGTCTTGGAGAAAAGCCATCTTCCTCCCACTGAGACAGGTGGAAAAGTTAACGCTCTACATTGAGGGTAGACTTAATCATTCACTAGAACATTCAGCTCTTCTTTGGGTTTATAAGACTGTTGCAAATGCAGAATTCATACAACAAATGTCACGGTTATAGATTAACTTTGTTCACTGATGTGAAGTTGTTTCTTTTTGAGTGGCATGAAAAATATTTCCACTACTGCAAAATCAGCTTTTACTGTGTGTATTTTCAATCCATCGCAAGATTTTTTTATGAGCACAAGTTGCTCTTTGATGGAAAAGGTATGATAGTACCTGTGAAGGCCAAAAAAGTCACTTTATTGCTCGATTAAAACAACATCCTTATGAGAAATTTCAATAATTATTTTTATGCTTTTCTGCTTCTTTCAGCTTTTTGAAAACAAGAAGAACACCAAGACAAGAAACAAAAAGGTGACCATCTACAGCTTCACCGGCACCCAAAGGAACCGCTGCAGCACGTTCCGAGTCAAAAGGACTCACACTGTTTACTGGCAGGAAGGTCTGTTCGTTACCTTTGATGGAGGCTATCTTAGGTAATTTGTGTTTGTAATGCAGCATGCATGACAGGGGACTAACAGAGTGTATGAAACACATCATCTGAATGGAGATGAATGGGCCTGACTCATGGTATATGCTCACTCATCAGTAGAAGAGGAGGCTCTTCTAATAGACATAACTCATCTGGTTAACAACTGGTGACAAAAATGATGAATAACTGATTGTTTGGCAGTTCTGAACAGATCAACCTTATGTGTTATTTCAGCCACAAATTTAAAGAAATTTAAAGAAAACAGAAAGTGATATTCAGAGCAGAACGTGTTGCTAGCATAAAATCATAAAATCCACTGAATCCTAAAACTTCACCACTGTGTGGCAGTAATCCAGATCGATGGAGGTCCTTCTGTGCTATCAGACTGCATGCAACAGGACTATGGCTGAGTGGTTTAAGCTGGCCAAAGCAGTGTCTGCTGGTTGCAAGCCTGGAGGAAACCTGCTGTACGTATTCCTTCACGAATGCAGAGAGTAGGCAGCCACTTAAGACTTTGATCTTTGTAGTATCTGCAGATGCATTTGCTCTTCCAGTCCCTGGCAAGATAGGGAGGAACCATTGGTGCTGTTGCACGGTTGGAGACCAGAAGGGCACAGTGACTTTCCTGAGTTCATCTAAGCAGTCTGCAGCTGAGTAGAGACCTGGACCCAGACATTGCAAATCACACGCTGAAATCCTTAATTCTGGACCATCGTGGGGGTCATACTCTTATCTCTGTGTGTACTTCAGGGAGTTACAGAACTCAGCTCTTTGTATTAAAGCTACTTTTTTTTTTTGTAGGAATTGAACAAAAATTGTTATGTCTATAAACATTTCCAAACAGTTTTTGGAAATTATTGTTGTTGTTATTGTTATTATCATCATCATCAGGCCATTGGAGTTTTATTACCAATTTTTAAAGCTCCTAACCCTCCAGCATTCTATATGGAGTATTTCTGTCAAAACTCTCCATCATACTCAGTTCACTTAGGCCAGAGTTTTCTCTGGGTCTGACCTTCTGTAGCATTTACCCATTGTGAGCAACCAGCATTTCTGTGTAAGAATTCTCTTCTGAAAGTCATTTGCAGAATAGACTGAATTGAAAATCATCCTCAAAGCTAGATTGCTGTTTATTTTGATTACTTATGAACTACATGTTATTATGTAATTTAGGTTTCCTGTGAGAAAGGAAGTTTTTTGACACCGATACTTCACAGAAGCTTCATGCGGTTGTCTTTTGGCTTTCTTACACAGCGTCGAGTCTTCTGATGTGAACTGGAAAAAGAAGAAAAGTGGTGGAATTAAAATCATTTGCCAGTCAGAAGTGAGAGACTTTTCAGCAATGGCATTCATCACAGATCATGTCAACTCTTTGATAGACCAGTGGTTTCCTGGTAAGAGAACTACTGTAATTTTCCGTGCAGTATTACGTCTTTTTAACAGAAGGTTCTTTGACAGAGCTCTCCAGGTGCACAATATTGTGTGTTAATTGAAGACCCCTCAGGCTCTGACAGTCTCCAGCCAATAAAGTTTGAGAAAAGCTGATAACCTGCAGACAGATGAAGATTCTTTGCCAGCACACCTTGGTCTAGACATTGTGTCTTTCAGTCCATCAGTCACAGCAATCACAGCTGAAACATTACAGTTCAAACAGGACCTGCTTCCGTGGGAGTTCAAGAGACTCTTCCAGTGCTCATAGCAGGGACAGGATTTGGCCCAGACTACTTGGCACTGTCCCTTATGGCAGAACTCGTTTTGGCATCAGCTGGGATCAGCATTTGCCCACCATTTCTAACACCCTGTAATTTATACAATTGTGATGTGAGAGGCATGAGTGAATATGATACCAAGGACTCTGTGCCAAGGTAACTTCCTTGACTCCTGCAGTTGTTTTTCCTGTGATCAGCACAGATCCTGCTGTTACCCGGCAGGCTGTTTGCAACCCCAATACACTTTGTTTAAAACCAAAACAAAATCTGAAGTGTTCTTTGTCGTCCCACACTGGTCCAGAAAACAGTGCCAAAATCTCTTAATTGGAGGCTCTCTGGAGGACACAGTTGTGCACTCTCACATATGCATGTTCTGCATGTTATGAAGATAAAAGAAGATTTTGCCTTTGGATTAAAATAATGATAATGTTGATCACTGAAGCTTGAGAAGAGTAGTGACGTCAAAGGCTACGGCCTGTATTCACCCTGCCTAACTGTAGGCGTTTAATGGAGCCTGTCACCACAAAATCCCTCTGTAGTTCGTGGGAGAGGTCTGAACATCCCGAAGGTTTAGTCTTGGCAGAATCCACGTTTCCCCCTGGAGGGGCTAAAAACATCGCCCATGGGGAGCCCACAGTGACCGTGTTCCTAACCTGGGTGCTGCAGGCGAGTGCTTACTCCTAGCCTGCACCTGAAGTGCCCAGCCTGGGCGCAGCGAGCCGTGCCTCCCAGTCCGCTCCGGTTCCCGTTCCCATGCCTGCTCTCCGCCTGAAGCCATCTGGCAGCTCGCAAAGCAGACGTGGTTGGGGCTCCTGGGCAGCCTCACAGCTGCCTTTCTTCTACTGCACGGTCATGCCCGTTAGCGTACGCAGTGATCCGTATATGTGGTTCACACGGAGACATCCAGCAAGTAGGAGGTTCTCTTCAATGCTTTATTCATATACTTCTGATTTCTACTGGTCCTGTATATATTTTCTTCGCAAGCTTATGCATTACCTGTGACCAAAGCAGAGTAGCTGTTATGTCAACAGTCCTGTCTCCTCAGTACCGTCCCTGCTATATACTGTGTATACTTTGCAAAAAGCTATTTTCTTATTCCAGTCAATACACTGCAGTAAACTGCTGCTTTCATGAGTGTGACCGTTCTCAGCCCGTGGATCCAGGTAGTGACTGTAGACATTTGAATACTCTAGGAGCTGTTGTTCTTTCTCAGTTTGTGTGGGTTATGTTGTTTTCTGTTTGCTTGCTTGCTTTGAAGCACTCACGGCCACTGAGAGTGATGGCACGTTGCTGATGGAGCAGTATGTGCCCTGCCACATCTGTGCAGCTTCCAAGCCAGAGGATAACGAGAAGGCGGAGGATGCGCAGTACTTTAACATGGAGGACTGTGTCCTGACTGCCATTGAACTGGACTACATCACATGTCCTAACCACCCTGACATCCCCGTTTCTCTCCAAGAGCTGGTCCCAGAGCTTTTCATGACTGATTTTCCTGCCAGGTAATGTTATTTGGTAGCCTTTGCTTAAGTTGCCATGTACATGTGTAATTCAGTTGGATTTTTTCCCTAAGTCATCTCTGCTAGAGGAGCATACTGACCACAGGAAACAGATTCATCCACTCTCAATCCCTGCTTTGGCAATTCATCCTAAACTGCACTCCTGGTGGTCAGCACACTTGCTTAGACAATCGCGGTCTGCTGACCCGAGTCATCACTTTGGGGGGTCCTTTGAGATCACTGTGGTGCAATGTGAAAGTCCCTTTCTAAAGCCGCAGCTGTCCTGCATTGCCCAGTACTCTGGCCAGAGCCTTCTGTAGTTGGAGTCTTTCTGAGATCCCAGAAAGGAGATTTTAATATGGCAAAACCAAAAGGAAGTGCTGCTGCGTCACAAGATTGGCACTGAAATGGCCTTTAGTTTTGAAGAGCGTGTAGGTGAGTAAATTTATATAAACACCGCTAGAGAATTCACCTTGAGTCGAGGCTCCTGCTTGGCTGAGGACTGTTAGCTGTGTTGTAGTAGTAGTGTGGCAGTCCTGAAGAGCTGCAACAGCTCTTCCCTACCCATAGCAGCTCTGCCAAATCTTTAAGCTGCTTAACTGCATTCCGAGATGGGTTCGGTATTATACGCCTTATTACTTAGTGTGTAGAGCAAGAGACCTCCTGTCAGCAGGCAGGACAGGAGACCAATGTCTCTTTTGGTTCACACTCTTTCAGACCAATTTTTTGTGCCCAATGCAGAGCCATGAGACCTCTAGACCAAACAGTGTCCTGTTGGCTGCTGCCAGAGCTTTCTCTGCTCCCACTGGCCCCTGTTCCTTTCTTGGGGTCATTTTACTGGGCAAACACCCCATCGGCTCATCACGACAGCCCTCCTCGCAGTGCTATCTCCTAGAGATTTATTTGACGTGTGCAAGGCGAGTGGAGATGTTTGAAGTGTGAACAGCTGTAAAAGTAGTCTCTGGAAGAGTGGGGAAATGATGAATTGCAGCCTGGGAACAGTAAGCTGATTTGAATAATCAGGTTTCAGAGTGTGGGGCTGTTAATAAACATCCTGTCCTGCTTCGGCGGAGAAAAGAGGAACAGGAGGCAAATGAAGCAAAAAAATCGTTAATACAGATAAATAGTACAAGTATCTGTACCTGTGTCATCTGCTTGGAAAAGAAGCTTATGTGCTTTCCAGATCTGTTTGATTCTTGTGGGATAAATTAGTAAAATGCCCTTTTTTCTTATTTGCCCAAGTTACCTTTTTCTGAGAGAAATCTGTTGTACAACATGAGCCAGCATAAAGTACATTGAGATGACCAAGATAGTTTGGGTGATCCAGTCCTCTCAGTAGATAAGACAAGAACCTATTAGGGATTTGTGAAAATGGAAATCACATTAAAACATGAATTTACAACATCTTTGAAACTTTTAATTAAAAAGACTCAATCTCTTTTTGGCAGACTGTTCCTGGAAAATAGCAAACTGGAATGCAGTGAAAATGAAAACAACGTTCTCGGCCAGGGTGGAAGTGGGACTGTTATATATCGGGCCCGATACCAAGGAAAGCCAGTGGCTGTGAAGAGATTTCAGATTAAAAAATGCAAGGGTTCTCCCACTTCAGCTGCAGGTACAGTACACAGAATCAGTGTCGGAATCTCGCAGTCTGCGATCCCAAGCTAAGACCAAAGAGCCTTTGCTCTCCGAAGTGCTGGCAGCACCTGTTTAAATACGGCTTTGAAATATATTCCAAAACTGATGTGTTTGCATGGAGGAGGAGGATACACCTTAAAGAGACCTTCACGAAAGCACTTGTAGCGATGAAGATCATTGGCACTGCAGGAAGGTTCTCTCCTGCGGGTCAATGGGTGCACTCATAGGGCGCCAAGGCAGAGCCCTTGACTGGGGTGGGAGGCAAAATGTCATCTCCTGTTCCCAGGCTATTTGGCAACGAAAAGGGTGGATTTGCATGGGTTTGCACTAAGGACTTGTGGGTCTCCACCTTTGAATAAGTCTTTTACCCCATCTGTGCCAGCAGCTACAGAAAGCCAGTTGGAAATCCTTCTCAGCCTGCCAGCTGCTCCAGGCAGGGGCAGGCTCTTGTACTGCACATGCTGGCTGTCGAGCGCAGGTTTCCAGCAGAGCCTCAGTCCGTGGGCAAAGGAAAGGGGAAAGTGCCTGGCTTTCCTCATTTTTGTCAGGGAAGGATGCAGTGAACCCCTGAGCTGTGGAGGAGGCCAGCTGCTGTCCCAGTGACAAATAACCTTTGGAAAGACCAGGCCTGCCTGAGCCATGGTGGTGTCCCGTGGGCAGAAGGACAGTTGCTGTGAAAGGTCCCTCTTCTGGTAGGGCAGCTGAGAAAGGGTAGGGAAGACTCCATCCACCAAAGGGTCTGCAGTGTGACATCCACACCCGGAGAGTCCCTGCTTTAAAAAGCACAGCATGAGTTTTCCAAAGTCATGCAAGTGATACACGAGAACAGCGTGTGCCAGACACACTCGAGGTTGGTGTTAGTGGACCAGGGGAGCACTTGCTTCCTGAGGCAGATGTGTATGTCCTGCTTATAGCCAGTGTCTGTTAGTGGCTCATGCATCAACATGAGGGTGCAACTTAAAGTCCTGCTGTTGGCATAACCCCATAAACTGCCTTCCTCCTGCAGCATTTGCTCAGTGATTAGCACCTTCCAAAGAGTTCCTAACTTGGTTTCTCAGCTGGGGCATGAGAAGGGGTTTGTTGGTTTTTTGCCAGATACCATGCTGAAACACCTGAGAGCCATGGACGCCATGAAGAACTTCTCCGAGTTTCGCCAGGAGGCCAGCATGCTCCACTCACTGCAACACCCCTGCATCGTCTCCCTCATTGGCATCAGCATCCACCCTCTCTGCTTTGCCCTAGAGCTGGCCCCTCTGGGCAGCCTCACCACTGTTCTGTCTGAAAACTCCAAAGGTAAAAGCAGGGTCTTCCTCCTGGGAGAGCTCACTCTCCGAGTCACAGCAGTGATACGTGGTCAACAACATTTAAATTACTGCTTGATTTACTGAAGGGGTTTATTTCCAGACTAGGGGAAGTGGGAGAGATGGAATTGCTCTTAAAAGTGTGCCTTTGGGAACCCAGTAAAAATTGATGCTCAGGATTTTCAAAACTACTTTGGAGACCTGGATTTTCAATTTCTCTGAAAATTAATAAATGCATATCACTTCAATGCTGCATGGGTAATGCTGTATTCTTACCCCTGCAGATGGGTGTCTGGCACTCTAAAGTCTCTCAAAATTATCTGTATTTCTGTTGCTGTCAAATGAACGACACTAATTCAAGATAGGTTGAGACCATCTGACCCTCTTGGCACCTTGGCTTTGTGTCAACTTTCAGTCAAACACTAACTTTCACCAGAAGATTTAGGAGTCTAGAAGTGAAAGGGTTTTAAAAAAGACTCTAATAGAGCTTTCAGACGTGTATAGTAACACGAACAGTGTCATTTCAAATCGTGGCATTGAGTGATGTTTTAAAAGGTTGTTAGTTATTGCTCTGGAGTTTAAAGGAGAAAGAGAAGCGGGGGCGGGAGGAGAAAGCAGTTATTGCAATTACAAGAACTGAAGACAGGCTGTTCCTTTGTGCCAGGGTCTTCCTTTGTGCCGCTGGGGCACATGCTGACACACAAAATAGCGTATCAGATTGTAACAGGCCTTGCCTACCTGCATAAGAAGAACATCATCTTTTGCGACCTGAAGTCAGACAATATTTTGGTGTGGTCCCTGGACGTCAAAGAGCACATCAATATCAAACTCTCCGACTATGGAATCTCCCGGCAGTCGTTCCACGAAGGCGCGCTTGGCGTGGAAGGCACGCCGGGCTACCAAGCTCCTGAGATCAGGCCTCGCATAGTCTACGATGAGAAGGTAACCGTGATGTATCCGTTGGGGCAGACCCTACGTGACAGCAGTGGGTGGCTGGCGTCGTGCATGGGGCTGAATTCCCCTCTATGTGCGTGGCATGCAGCACTAGCTTTCTACCGTGGCCTTCCTTGCTCTCCTCTCCACCCACCAACGGAGGTTTGCCCTGTTTTTTTTCTGTTTCTGGCTCTAGGTTGACATGTTCTCATATGGGATGGTCCTGTATGAGCTGCTGTCTGGTCAGCGGCCCGTGCTAGGACACCACCAGCTCCAGATTGCAAAGAAGCTGTCTAAAGGGATCCGTCCTGTTCTTGGGCAGCCGGAAGAAGTGCAGCTATATAGGATGCAGGCACTCATGATGGAGTGTTGGGACACTAAGCCAGAAAAGGTACAAGACAACCCTTGTGACCAGTGTTTTCTGATCATGTAGGTACAGGGATCTGGCAGCCCTCTTCACGCAGGAGAGCTAGCCTCAGTCTCGGTACAGCAGAACAGCTCAGTTGCCCCTTTACCCTTCCT